AATCCTGAAAAATAAATGTTTACGTATTAACATGGTCATATTTCGGAGCCACAGTCGACACGTCGAACTATTCTGGTCATATTTTTATTGTTATTCGAATTTGCTTGTACACAGAGTCATTTAGTGGGCGACGAGATGGCTGATGCAATGGACAAAGATGAGGACTTCGATTTTCTAGATGATGTTGAACGGCAAGTAATAAGTGCACCAGAACCCCCAAAAGAACGACTTAAATTTGGTTGGATGAAAGGTGTCTTGGTAAGTGATACAACGATTCATGCTCTTATTCATTTTGCTCTTGTAATTTCTGATCAAAATTATTACACGCGAAAACAAATCTACTATTATTACATCCTTCTAGATGAGGTGCATGCTGAACATCTGGGGGACAATTCTGTTTCTACGACTTTCATGGGTTGTTGGGCAAGCCGGTATAAGTGAGTATACGTAGTTTATGAATTTTAAAACTACACATATCTATGGTGAACCGATTGCCGCTATAGATAACAGTGCTAATGCATGCCAGGTGATATTCTAGTGGCTGTACGAGCGGGGGTTGCGCCCTCTATCGGCAATTACACAATGTTCGGAATTTACAAGTATTTATATGTGTTTATGTTTTTATATATTTCAGTTTTGGCAACTTTAATTATCGTCTATTCAGTAACAATCACGTCTTTAACAACACTATCAATGTCCGCTATTTGTACTAATGGAAAGGTAGTTGGGGGTAAGTTCAATAAAGGCGTCACAGAGATACGTCGATTTACTAGTTTGCTTTATACATCTAACTGATCGACATGCCTGACATAATTAAATGCACTAGCGGCAATTTTGCTGTCCCCGTGAGCCGAATCCGCCGGTGAGGGCACAGTATCAGGACATCAGCCTTGCCGATAGGGCACATTGTGCAATCATCGGCGAGGGCGCAATATTACCGTGACGCCAGTGAGGTTAATCAATGTTTTCTCCTTATAGGCGGTGCGTACTTCTTGATATCAAGGAGTCTAGGACCAGAATGGGGCGGTGCGATTGGATTGGTGTTGGCACTTAGTAACACTATAGGCGTTGCTATGTATGTTGTTGGCTTCGCCGAGACAGTCAGAGACATCCTGAAGGTTCGTATCGCATTTGAATTTAAGCAAAATAATATATATGTATATATTATTTTGAATAAGGTCATGTATAATTCCACAAGCAAACAGATCATATGATAGTGACTAGCATTGATATAACTGCGCTGATAAAGCAATATACCAGCAAAAGCAGATAATAACAGTTTCTGAGATTCACAAGAAATCACCCACACACTACAAATGAGACATCAACGACGTTATCACATATGCACGTTTTTGTGCTTTTGTAAAGAAGGAAATCAACCAAATCGTTTTTTCTGTCACCCGTTGGTTATTGTGTGTAATTCTATTGACGTGACAGTTAGCGACCAAATGAAAACATCACCAACAAGTTTTAAATCATAATACGTTAGACCCAGGCACATTCTGCTTGATGCACTCAGTGGCACGATAAGGGTACTGGGACGTACAATTATATAAGTTATGTGTGTTTTTTCAACAGAACAATGACGCGCTTATGGTTGACGAAATAAATGACATCCGAATTATTGGTTCAATAACAATTGTTTGTTTACTTGCGTTGGTGTTTATCGGACTAGACTGGGTTCTTCGGGTAAGCTAAGCTAATGTCGCAAAATATTACGCTGATAATACGTAGGCTGCCACTCTGTATTTACACATGTAACGTTGACAGACGTACAGCCAGAACATGGCTGTATGATGAATGAAAGCACAGTCTCACAAATAATGTTTGCCCACCGTTGAAAGCTTATAAAACAACCTCTGTTTAAAGCTGTATTAAATTAAATTAAATTAAATTAAATTAAATTAAATTAAATTAAATTAAATTAAATTAAATTAAATTAAATTAAATTAAATTAAATTAAATTAAATTAAATTAAATTAAATTAAATTAAATTAAATTAAATTAAATTAAATTAAATCAAATCAAATTAAATTAAAGATATCAGCAAACAGTGGGACATTTTCAGAACCTTAGTAAGTCCATTGTATCGCACGACAAACTGACGTATCTCTAATGCGGTCTTGACGAGAAGCAAGGCAGGAATTTGTTTGATGACCACCAATTTCTTAAGTCCTGTCCTTTTCTTTTGACGGAAATTTATACATGTTATATGATATTTTACAGCATTCGTTGCCACGGTGACTGCATCCAAGCGAACATAGAGCACATCATAATTCATAGGCTAGTTTCAAAGCAGGATTCGAAACAGCGTTGCATGTCGAGATTTTAGGTATTCCCGGTTTTAAAACAAAATATATCAACGGGAATTGGAAACGCATACATTATGAGCGCCAAATTGTTGATTACAATACATACCTCTTTACCACAAGTAAGACTTCAAATAAGTTTAATACAGCTATAACCCGCAGTTCTCTCATATAGATGAAGTGTAACACTGTTATTTGCAAACACAAATTATATT